ATAACACATAATATGCCAAATATGGTTTCTCTATTCATGGTTCACAGACGGATCCCAAGATTCCAATACAACTTCACGCACGAAAATAAAAACGCAACTTGAACAAGCGACAGATCAGCACAGTAAAACAATTGCGAAGATCAGGGTTAGGCCTGCAAGCGCAAACAGCAGCAGGAATTCCCGTATAAGCTCCCTCATTTTATACTTTTTTCGGCTGATTAGGTCTTGACACCCGACCACTATTCTCGCAGGGCCCTTTCGAGTTTCAGATTGAATACACTCTACTTTGGCTCTACCAACACATCATCCGGTAGAGCAGTCCAGGGATTTTTTTACCCTCCCCGACATACGATAGACCAGAGGCACACAGTTTGATTGCATTTTTCGGAGTGTCAGTGCATGTGCCCTGATGCGGCTGTTGTGTAGTGACGATGATTGTACGAAGAAATGGAACAATCCACGAGGACGTTTTCCGTTCATATTTTCTTCACAATCAACTGTGACTCTAACTGTGATATTTCTTTGTTTTACTTCACTGGTGGTGTTCTACTGAGCAAGGTCCTCCGCTTAGATGTTTATATAAGCTGGATCCTGTTCAAATCCACGCAACACGTGCGGCATGCTTGCGCTTGGCTACTGCATTTATTTGCTTGCATTGTTGAGTCGTCGCATTGGTACGTACTCGGTAGTTTCCAGTACCACGAAAAACCAATAAACGTCTTTAGTTGAGAAGAAATTACATATACGAATAATAATGAAATAGGCGGTACAACGAACGGATTCACAGAAGGATTGTCCAGCTAGTTGATTGGTCCTTTTCTTCAGATTTGTGACTCCGGGTGACAATGTGCAGTATTACTGAAATGCATGGCTGCGACAGTTAACGGACCGCTTGACGATAACTGATAATGTACGCGTAATGCTCCTGCAACACCCGGAGAACCCATGCGCAGTTACGAGCAGAATTTTGCTTTGTTTTTTACTTGTTTTGCATGCTAAAACAAGCTGCACAATCATGTCATATAAAACTGGATAGAGAAGTAAGACGCTACACGTCCACGTCGGCAGGCCGTCAACGTCGATTGGCTTCACCGGTGACCCCGAAACTTATACTTGGTGAGTTGAATCCAATCTGGTTTGCACGATTTTCCTCTCGGTTCATTTTTAATTGTACGATGATCGAGGACCGAGTACCAGTAGACAACAGGGAACTGAAACTTCTGGCTTTTAGTTTTAAGCCAGTAGCTTCCATCCATTACGACCCTGTAGTGTGGTTTGTGTATGCGGTAAAGGCCATCCATGGTGATCAATTGTCAGCCATTAGGCATAGAACCTTTAAACCACCGTAAGACAACGCGTTTGATGTTCTTTCAGTTTAATGCTCCTTCTAACGAGTAGCAATCTGGCACGTCTACTGACGTTGGTCGGCCCAGCAAGCGCCGACTCTGACATTGTCAGCGAATTGTCGCTTGAGTCGTCACGAAGTCATATCCAACGGACGGTAACAGCGTTATCGGAGGACGCCTCAATAGACAAAGCTGCGACGATTGCAGATGAAATAGTTGCACGTGTTGGTAGTGAGGATTATTTTCTCCTTGCCACGATATCGCAACCATACAATGGGTATAGGGATAAGTACGCGATTCAACCTTCAAAACCACGACCACAATGCCCACTTCGAACCCCTACAGAGCGAAGACTAGCCTCGAGTGGATAGGACAGCCTGACCGCGTAGGCCGGAAGCATCCCAAAGCCCAGAAATCACTGCAGCGCAAACNGACCCCGGATGATCCCACCGAGGGTTACTGTCGGTTACATTGTAGCTACGGACCAGGAGCTCTCAATTGCAGGAAACCTTGCATCTACGAGACAGGAAGGGGGTAAGCCGGCGAGTAAAAGCGACTGTACTCACCGGCCCGTTTCCCTAGTTTGGCCGTCTGTTTTCCGTACGGGACCGTCACGCGAACGCTAGGTTTCTTGTAGTTACAAGAGCCCAGGTTTCGGTCTTTCATGTCGGTAGCAGCAAGCCACGAGCTACGCCGCTTCGGCCATGCGCTGCGAATGACACTCCCATTCCTACCTTTGGAACAGTACATCTAAAGGTCAAACTGGAAGGGCAACGACGGTATCCATGGAAGTACATTCTTGCGAACGTTCCCACTGAAAAACTGGGTATCGATTTCTCGCAGTACCATGAATTGCTTGTCCATTCACATAGACTGCAGTTGACCAACCCAACGTCGGATATCAAATTCTCGGATCTCATAGCCCGGATGGACGTGTACCAAATCACGGGTCTAATGCCTGTTATCCCCGTAGATTTCTAGACATTGATCACCCGATTCCCCATGTTGACGAAACCTATCGAAGACTTAATACTAGTGACTGATTGTGTTGCACACTACGTAGTCACAATGGATCCATCAGTCACTGCACGACATCGCCAACCGGCACCGGACAAATTAGCTTTTGATAGGAGTGAATTCGACACTTTAATTTCAAAAGGTATCTTCTGTCCTTCTCATAGTCCATGGGCCTCTCCTCTACACATGGTGCTTAAGAAAGACAACATTAGCTGGGGACTATGTGGCGACTATCGTTTACTTAACGCATTGACTCTTTTCGATACTTGTCCCATCCCACATATACCCGACATTATGGCTTCACTTTATCACACGACTATTTTTTCTAAGATCGATCTGGTACGAGCTTATAATCAGATTCCAGTCGCCACTGAAGTTGTCGTAAAGACTCCTTTCACCAC